CGTAGGAATTTATATCATAAAATTTTACCTTCAGAAGACCAATGTCAACAATCCGACCAAGGAATACATCGGCGACGTTCCGTACCAGCTGGATCTAGATCCGGCACAGCTAACAGGTGTTCTTTTAATTATAAATCAATTATTTGACAGTTCTTACCCCTCAAAAATAGGATAAAAAGGACTTAGGCACAGTCCTCCGGGCGGAACCCACAGCGGACATCAACCGGGGACACCAGACCCATACCGCCACTCTGTCCGTCGCCATCCAGCCAGAATATCCCGTGGTCAACTCCGCCGATTCCGGAACGTTTTTGCCAACGACCCATACAACAAGATCGGGAAACCAGGAGGTAACACACAGAAAAATTTTTCCCTCTCTCAGGTCTCTCTCTGTTAGACGGTCTATCGACAGAATTGTCGCGAACTAGAATTTTTGATCATTCCCATTTCGGGTAGCTATTAGCTTTTGCATTTGCTTGTATTATTTAAATTGTTTATTAAATATGTTATATTTGTAGAACCTGTGAACCGGTGTATTTATTTGGGAATCTGTCAACTTACTCATTAACCTCCCCACTCACTTATAGTCCTCCTAAGCCATCGCCTGACAAGAGCCGCCGATAAGCGGGGTCACTCTGTCCCCTCGGTTCTCACAAGAATATAGTCCAAGTCAGTGTCCTTTGCAGCTGACTTAGCTTCAAAGTCGGCTTTTTATTTCCTAGTATGCCAGTATGGCCAGGAACAAAAATAAAAGTTATGTTATTAACGCGATTTTTAATATGGTGCTGGATATATGTGATTTTGTTGCTATTGCAATTGGGATTTAATAGGGCTTTTAGGACAGACTGAGAGTCACTGTAAATGTTGATAGAAAGAGTTTGTTAGTTAGTGAAGTGGCCCACTGAACAGCTTGGTATATGTCAGTTTGCAGGAAGATACAGACACCTGAGCCAACATGAAGGGGGCCTTTGGACCCATCTGTGTAGATATTAATGTCAGCATGGTTATCCAAAGAGGACGCAGATGACACCAGATGTACCCTGGGGATAACCTTGCTTACAGGGTGATGATCACAGTAGGGTAATTGCAATGTAGAAGCATATGAACAGCCGTAGATAGGATCAGAGACCGTTGTTGAACCTTGATGTTTGTGGTTCTGATGTAGTTGTTTAGAACTTTTTCTTCAATACATGGTGGCAAAGGAAGGAGCTCTGCTAGTATCAGAGAGGCATTTGTAGAAACAGTTCTGCAGCACTTTGAAATTCTGATGGCAAACTGTCTTTATTTCAAAGTGCTGCAGAGATGTTTCTACAAATCTTTACGCACACAAATAAATGAATTAATTAAACAGGTGTTAAAACATCTGTATTATGTGTTAAAGTATTTATTAATTAAAACAGACTATTACTTTATTTAAAGTAAAAATCATGTTGCAGAACTATATAATTACAGAAACCAAAGTAAAAACAGTAAAAAAAGAAAACTAAAATGGTCTTGACTTTTCTTTAAGGACATTTTTAATCTCATAGGTGTATTGATGAAATACGCTATCAATGAATCCGGTAAACGACGTTTCGGTGATGTATCAATGACGTACATAGTTTAGCTCTGGTTTGATTGACAGGACAAAATTATGCTATAGATGAATGTTGTATAAATTTTCACTAGCCACAGGCTTTGTTATTTAATTAATAATTAGAAATGTTATATATCACGTACGGTACTCATAAAAAATTACTTATCTGGCCGTAATTTAAGCCAAAATGAAGTTATTTAACCCTTTCTCCGGCTATTTCCTTAAATCTAGGTCATGAAATCTGACATTCGCATATTAATAAAATGCTGATTTATGTTTATAATAGCATATTTTTATTGTCATCGACGAAAGAATAATTCAAAAGGGTATAATATAACAAATGTATTTTTTTTAAATTTATTCATAAGAAAGCTTCAAAAAATATATTCATTTATCTGACGTGTTTACATAACTCTACAACAGAATAACAGCAAATCCACGTTTATTAACTTTGCATTTTCTCTTATCATTAGCATTCTCTTGTCTCTTCTTTCTAATAAGACTAGGTGATTACAAAAGCTTGAATCCTTATTAAACGATTCTAGGAGTAACAAGCTTTTGTAACTTTATTTTATTACAACAAAGAAATGTTTTAAATTAATGATATACTGAATAACAAAGTCTGGAAATCTGATTAAATAATCTGATTGCTAACATATCAGATATTTATTCAGACTTCATAGAAATTCCTTCAGTGTGATATTGTTAATACTGTACCGTTTAACTTCATAAACATCAATGCCAAATATAAAAAATTGATCCATTTAAATTTATATTTATCTGTACAACATGTAGCCCTTTTACAACCTTTCACAAAAGTTTTTTTTTTTTGTTATTTTACTATTATGGTGAAAAATCTGCTTCTATTTGTTTAGTTGATTTTATTCATATATTTTTAATGGCTTTTGGAAAGAGATAGAGAACAATATTTAGGACAGGTCAATCTGTTGCTCTATAAGTCATGTTGCTAAATGACATTATTTTGTAATATTGAATGTTTATAATTTATTTACTACAAAAGAAAACGAGTTTTAGAAACATTTCGCGATGTTACTTTTGTAAATATCGCTGTTATCGTACTAATAGATAAGACTACTTAAAAACACGAATTAATATTCAGAAAGTCCTTTGGAATAAAATCATTTCTAACAAAATTGATAATACAAATTATTATCGGCATGAATTTCTCCATTTCATATCAAATAAAAATTGCAAAATTACATTTATATATAGTAGAAAGAAGATATTCATTTCAGCTTAATTTATATTGTTGAATAAAAAAATACTGGATAATAAAAATGTCAAAGAAGTGACTTCAGTGAAAAAGCTCTAAATGGGCTTATTCAAAATCTCAGGCAATTTCCTGTTGCAGCCAGCAAACTACCAGTGTCATTTTCGGCGCTCGATACTCTAGCAAACAAGATGGCAGCCGCCACGAGACTCTTAAGAGCTCTGTTTTGCGTTGATAATTTGTTTGTTGATGAATATACCCAGAATAAATTAAGATTCGGTTAGTACTTTAGGCTAATAGAATAATTTAATATACTAATATAACATCACATAATTTGTTTTAGTTATTAAAATATAATCTTAGGATTGATTTAGTTATTTATAACTCTTACGGAAATTAAAAAATCTTTATCCTTCTTTCTCTTTACGAAAGATTCATTTTAATTAAGCTGTTCTCATTAAACAAGTTTAGTTGCGTCACTTCCTGCAACATCTCACTGGATTGATGCTGAGATTTTGAATACGCCCTATTTATTTTGCTCCAGGCCCCACTCTGTGCGACCTTGGACAAAATACAATCCTCTGGGAGGCCTTGCAGACCAGTATTTTTGTGAAATTAAATAAAAATTAAATACACGGAGAGAACAGAGTTCAAATGCATTATTTTATTCGGCAGATCAATTTTGATCGCCAATCCACTCCTGGCACTAAGTGTTTAAATAATAAAGAAAAACGAAAGTAATAAAAGAACGTGTTTTTATAAGACTATTTAAGAACTATTATAAAACGTTTCAAAAATTATTTTAAAGACTTTTTAAATAAACTTGCTTTTATTAATTTGTAATAAAAGTAAGTTTGAGCAGTACTGGTCTACAGGATTATATTTTTTTCTAAACAGTTCCAACCTTAGTAATGCGGAGCCCAATTGAAATCATTAAGAAACAAATAACTAAACTGATAAAAAAAATTGATACTGTACACAATTCTAGTTTTAAAATATAGAATTCTCCAAAATGTGACGTCAATTTCTTCTCTTCACGGAGTCTATAACCACAGCGTGGGGCCACTTACAACGTCCCGCCCGATTAGGTTCAATCGGCTTAATACCCTCTCGCCTCTAAATACCAATTTTGAATGTCCACGAGAAATTGTATGAGCATAGTCAAAGTTTTTTATATTATAATTTAAGTAAATTTCGTAACGGGTATCGTCTTTACATGAATACTAATGTCAGTCTAGTTTGCAATAACTTTTCTTTGATATATGAGCATTTATTATTATTCTAGAAAATTATTTCCATCTGTTCTTTAGGAAATAGCATATTTATGACTTCAAATAGTTTATTGAAGTCATTAAATACGTTTTGTTTTTATACAGGATTTGAATTTTCTTCGTTAATAACTATTACAATCTTTTTACAGTCTAATCTCTACAATATAAAACACGATTCCGAATTAATTTTCAGCATTGTTCATATATTAAAATTATTCTAGAAATTAATTCTGACGAAGTTTCGTTTGTCAGAAGCTTATATAACTAGATTTTAGTTTATGTATTATATATCTTCACTATAAGTACAAGTAAGTCAACAAAAAAATCAATTTAACTAGTGGTCATATACATTATTTTCATTTACTCAGCCCTATATAAAACATCTGTTAGTGTACGTGTATCGTTTTTTCCATACAGTTAACCTCACAGTTGAGTTTACAATTATTTTTCGGCACAATAAATACCTGTACTTAACTTTGCTCCTATTCAGAAGTTAGTTACATTCATGTAATTTATAATTAATAAAATTAATTTTTTGGATCTATTATCAATTTAAACTGTGCTTAACTTCTAAAATATAGTTTTAAAATGTGGAAGGAAATTATCTTTTAATAATCTTGTTCAAAATCTAAATTTATTATTTGGTGTATAAATATAGGGTCGAAATAGAACTATAAAATTTTAAAAATAATTAATTTTTATATTCGAAACATCGAGAGGAAGCGGATATATTTCTGTATAAAAGTAGATTTTGATGAGGTCAAATTAAATACTGCTTCATGAGTAATGTAAAGTGGCGTAAAAGGTCAAAGAAATTTACCGATCGTAAATACAAAGGGTCAAAGAGATTAAAAAATTATTATTTTTTCCAATCGTGCTATTGATTTTATATAAATTTAATTCATAAAAAATTAAGACATACCAATAATAGACCCTATAATTATGGACACACCACCGAGTAGAGTGACCTGTCGTTTTAACTGTAATTTTTCTGTTTGCACTTTAGACCCTGTAGAAGTCTTTCCCATTCCATCGTGTTTAACAGCTTTCGTTGAACTTTTTTCATTGTTCTCTGAAACAAAAACATAAATTTTCTTCAATTTTATATAAAAAAAAAAGAATTAGTAATTGCGATAAAGTATCTAATTACGCAAATGTATTATTTGATGATGATTTTGCAATGGTTGTTTCAATGTAATTAGGATCATACAGTTAAACTTGAGGGGGAAAATTGCTAAAGAAATTACTTCTATAAATATAAATTTATATTAATTGATCAGCTTTTAAAACAAAATATTATATTAAAGCTTGATAAAATTGCTTAAAAAGAAACTTACTGTTCTTAGAAGTTTCCATATAAAAGGAAAATAGGAAAAGCTGTCATGCACCCACACACACACATATGCACACTAACAACTGATTGCACACCTTGCTAAAATCACCTGTTACATGTATAGAAGTATACTCCAATACCTCCAGCGTATTATTTTAGAAAATGGAACTAAATTCATAAAAGTATGACATCAAAAATACACTCGCCAATCATTAACAACCGAATTATATTATTGCGTTGTGTGGTAATAGAAACCAGTTTTAAAAACGAGTTAATGTGTGATATATATATATATATTTTCTTAGGCAATTAGTAACGAGTAAGATGCAAAAAGTTTTATGTATATTTTGGCATTGTAAAATGTTTCATAGTTGTTTTACTTTCCCGGCGATGTTATATAGAAGAGGGAAAAATATAGCGATTATTTTTTGACCGAGTTTTATATTTTTGAACTCGGGAAACCTTGAAACGTAGAGATACGCAAAAAATTTCGGGAGTTTTTTTTCTGTATCTATAGATGTTTTTGTGTGGGGAAGAGCAAGATTTTGCTTTGAAGCTTAATAACTCGAGTGTATTTTGCTGAAAATTTCTGAAATTTTGTAGAAAAGTTTGTGTATTAGGGAGATTTACGCGATTAAATTTTGATGGTTTAAGGCCGAAGGGGGGATGCAGAGACGGCCCTACCATAGGGCGAACGGAGCAGCCGCTCCAGGCGCTAAGTCCTAGGGGGCTCCTAGTGGTAAAGAAAATTAAATGGTACAAATTAGGGGCAACCAAGGGAGGTGCCATAATAGGATCTCGCTCCATCCTAAAACTTTCCTCGGGCCGGCACTGGAGGGATGGGTTGATAGACGGATGTTGTGTGTCATATCTCGAGTAAGTTCGGACTTAATGATGTATTTACAGGTTATTAGCACTTAATTTTTTTTTATAATACTCATTTTTACATCAAGAATCAAGCTTTTTCATTTTATAATAATTATATAAAAACTTTTTTAAAAGTAAAATATCATAACAGATGGCGCTCCACGTAGTTTTAAATATCGTTGCCGGGAAAATTAAGCAACGAATTGCTGGATTTTTAGTAAGTTTATCGTTTTAATTGATTATAAAGTTTTCTGAGTTTTTTTTTCAGAAATTTGTCTTATTTATATAATGTAGATTCGTCAAAATTGTTATAATATGTTATAAAGTACAATACAGTCGATCCCGCATAACACGGTAGATACGTTCAGTTTTTTATGAATCCATTTTTCTACGAGTCCAGCCAATCACAGCCCGGCACGTATGCAGTTTACGGACTACAGCTGTTTGAAAGGTTTTCTTCCATAAAATTAATCGATTCTAGACTAATTTGACTCAACATTTCCAAAACACGTATAATTTTTTGGGAATAATCCGTATAAACTATGCTATAAACAAAAAATTGTAGGATTACTTACCGAGTGTGCACCGTTCGACGACGCCATCGCTTAAGCTTGTTTTCGTCGCGGAGCAGCGCACCAAACGGCGGACGCGTTTTCTAATAAGTTATTTTTCTGCGAAAAATTCGCTGAACTTTGGAGACATCATTAATAGAAATAATTTTAATGGCCATTGAATAAGAAATGTTTTTTTTTTTTTCACAAGAAATGTATAAAATTACAGTACTGTATTAGACTTACAGTATCTAATTTATATACTGTACAGACTATAGTAAACTCAACTTACCCGCCTAAACTATCTCCGCGTTTCTTTATGCAGCGCTCGAGAAGCGCTTTACAGCGAACAGACTGAAACTGGTTTCTAATTGGCCAACACTGCTCGTGACGTCATTTCGCTACACTCTCGCTGCATAAAGAAACGCGGGGTATCCGTAGCGTGTAAGTAGTTCGGCTGCTCGTCCACTATTGGTCCAGATTTGACCAATCCTGTCGCGACACGAGTCGGCGATGACGTTTTACCGCATTTTACGAGTCTCTTTTAGCTTGTTTACACGAATACGGTCGCAATATTTTCGCCGCGATATACGAATCAGCATTATATGAATCCGCGTTGTAGTGGATCGACTGTATTTATTTTCATAATAAATATTTAAAATAATTTTATTTTCGTTGTAAAATAATTTTTCTTGAAAAAAGTATTTTTTTAAACGGTTTTATACAATTTTATTAAAATATAAGTAAGTTTTAAACATTAGAAAATAAAGTTCCTAACTATAAATTCTAATAAATTACAGAATATTATAGAAAATATAGTTTAATTAATAAACAATTATTTAAAAAAATATTATCTTTTTATATTTAGTACTTTAATATCATGAGTATTGCAAAAATTCATGATTGTATTCAGATGTACTCATGACTGATCCAGCGCTAAATGAATTTGATTTATCAAAGCAGTAGTGTAACGGGGGAAGGGCCTCTTTACGTTTGTAAACAAGTAAATTTTAAAAATCAAAATAAGTACTGTACAAGAAAAATATCTGAAAGTTATAAATGCAATTAGCCTATACACATATATAGATCATATTAACGATGGCGAATCAGTTACCTGCGGGGTAATGCATATATATATATATATATATATATGATAGATTTCAAAACTTTTCATAACTAGTGTGAAAGCAGGGTTCTAAAGATGAGAAAAGTCTTAAAGGCCATAAATTATGAGCCTGAGATAAAAAATTATCATGAAATAAAAAACACTAGACAACAGATTTACCATTAAATGAAATATTTGTTTGTAAAAGGTTTGCCATCGCTGGCCTATACAATATCTAAGAGTTACTCTATTCACACTGCTAGTGGTTTTACCCACAGTATTACAAGGGTAAATGTAGGTTTGAACATTTTAACTCGGACCCTCCTGTAGTATGGCGCTGTTTAGTTACATCACTGTATCAAAGAATAATTTGAATTCATTATTCATATTAATCAGTTATACCAGTATTAGAACTGTTTAGTTAATCAGAAGATATTCCTTTATGATGATGTTTTCTTTAGCCTAAAATGAAAACTTCAGTATTGAAGTTATTTCTTGCTTCTTCGTTATTATTGATTCTCGAAATTTACGTTGAATATTTTCCGCCAAAAATAAATATACATGTTCCATCTTGGATTTGAATATCACAATAGTAGCATTGTTAAAACTGTAACTCGTATATTGTAAATTCTATTGAAAATACAAAAGAAGATAAAAAATAGCCAATGCCCAAAACCACAAATGCACCGACTAAATCGGATAAAATGATTGGGTTTTCATCAGATCCTTCTTCTAAAGTTGCGTTATTAATAGGTTGCATTGAGATCCTTTTCTTGAAAACGACATCGTCCATCCACTTTTCTACAAGACCGCTATCAGACAATTTTTCTATGCTGTAACACATCAGAACAATCAATAGTTGTTTAGCAGATAGATTACGTAAAGATACTTACACTCTGTTGAATCTATCGTCCATTGAAGAATTTCTACGAAGAGCTACAGCGTAAGCTAACGAATAAATCTGATCTTGGCTGAAAACATAATTTTTATCATCTAGATGTGCAATTTGAATTTTCAGTATGCTAGAAGGATATATAAATGCGTGAAAACCCGATTTGACCCATTTGGTGACGTCGTCTTTATTTCGTAATATCTGCTCTCGTTTATTCTTTTGGATATTTTTGCGAATTTGATACAAAGGTCCATCCTTAGATTTCTAAAAAATGTTATATTGTAAATGCTAATGTAAATTATTGTTATAGATAAATTTATAGCTAACTGAATGGAATAATAATGAATTTACCCCAATATTTCTGAGGATTGAGCTGCTATTCAAAGTTCCAACTTTATATTCGCTCGTTTCTAATTTTTTCAAAAGTTGATTCACAGTTTCAATTTGATCATTAGGAATAGGTTGATATAAACAAGACGTTACAATTCCACTAAAGGAAGAACATATTATGACGCTGAATATCCACCAAATTGCAAACAGAATCCTTAAACTATGCTGAAATGGAGTTTTAGTTCCTCCTATGAGAAAGCATTAATTTAAATATATTTATACATTTTTACCAGTAAAGTATAAAAAAAAACTAACCTTGTTGCAAAAGACAGCCATAAAAATACCATAAAGCACGCCAAAAACTCCACTTAGAATCTGTGTTGTCGTCAGAAAGTTTTACAATCAGAGGAACCATGAGAGATGTAAGCAAAAATGCTATTATTATCGCCACCCATATCTAAAATTAACAAAAGTTATGGAATATTTGTTTATAAATATTGAAATGTTACAAAACTTACGTCGTTTGAAAATGGTCTGATTACAGCTGAAGCTCGGCTCTTCTCTCCTGTATACCGAGTCATAATAATGACGCCATCGTAAAAATATGGAAATGTAAAATCTACTATTTCTTCTCTCTCAGTGCTCAGGCTAATATGAGTTACTGCAATATCCACTTCCTAAAGTTGTTTAGATTTTTCATTATTTGTAATAAATAAGTAATTAGGATTTAAAGCAGACAGGTTTTGAATCATCATGCAAAAATACTTATGCAAAAATAATTTACAAATTTTTACAATAAACAACAAAAATAATATAAACTTTTCACATAATCTTCTTTCGGTTTCTAGGTAATTCGCAATGCATCAATGAAAACTGTATAGTGATTTCTGAATGGAAACCTTCAACGAAATATCTTTTCTGTTCGTAATTAGGCTTGAATTTAATTCTATTTGTCAATATAACGGACGTATTTGAAGTCGACATTTACGATCCAATAAAAGTCACAAAAAAAGAAAAAATAATATACAATTCCGAAAATTTCAAAAAAGTTACACTGCCTCTTTCACCAGAAAATGATTCTCTTCTTAGGTTAAATTATTTTCAGAAATTAAAAAGGTAATGGATAGATAGACCCAAGCTGAACAATATTTGTTATAAATGTGAGGACCCAAACGGGGTCCGAAAGGAGGCCATTAACGACTTTTTGAATGAGTCAAGTTTCGTAGCGCGAAAGAGAGAACTTAACGATCGGATTTAAACAATGAACCTTTTTGTCTTGTTAAAAGATTTTAAACAATAGATAGAGTAAAGTCGAGGAAAACGAGTTGGAAAACGAGGTTGGAGAGGAGTCGTGTTCAGGCGCGACGTTGACCTCTCCCGCGCCCTTCGGTGGGGTTTCGAATTGTCACCAGGTGACAAGGAGAGACCAATGGAAAGGCGGCTGAGGTTAAGGAATTTATAAAACAGTGCGATTCAAGTTACAAACGTTCTTGGTGCATAGTCTTACCCTCCTGGACGTGTGTGTCCCCGCGGAATCTTGGAAAGAACGTTTCGGCTCGAGTGGAAGCAACCTCATCTGCCGTGCCACCGGACGACCTCCAGGCTCGTCGGTTCGCCCAAAAAAGACCACCGGAAGCTTGATATATTTTTCGCCCCGGGGCCGACGATTATTAGTTCGTCGTCGCCGAACTGAAGGAAACGGAAAACGAACTTTTCGAACTCTATTGAACTCTACCCTCGTGCTCCGTGGTGTGATAATCCGTCAATCAAGAAAAGATTGTAAGAAATTATAATTTTATTAAACGGTTTTATATGGTAAACCTGTCTCTGTGAATCATTCCGCGCCCACACGACAGTAATGACCGCTCGGCTGTCGGAAATACCTCACCCCTAATCGGCTGACCTCACATAAACATCCAAATATATTTTTCGCAGGCTCTATGATTCCTTTCCAAATTGATTTGTACAACAAAAATTGTAGTTAATGTTTGAATATTATAGAAAAAAAGCTACCTTTCGTAATACCATCCCCAACGATCCCGACCACGTGTCATTTATCGGATCACCCGAAATACCATCCTCCGAGTACACAAAATTGTATCTGGAATAGAAAAACATTTATGAAATCAAATGATAAGCTGTAATTATAGCTGTTAACATATAGATATTAACACGAAAATAATAATTACTCGAATTGGAAATATTTCGCTAATTCTTCCACTATATTGAAATCAACTCCTCCGTATTTTAACGTATTAGAAACATTATCTTTTAATTCAAAGAAGAACGGAAATGACTAGAAATTCACAATGACAATATAAAAACAGAATAGTATTCATAGATTTAGTAGACTATAATTAATATTAATTGATATTGAAGTTTAATAATCTTACTTGATAATATGCGACCGATATTGTTTTATTTTTAAAATATATTCTATCTTGACGATCAAGATATCTGTTAAAGAGATCACCAACTGGTTTATCATTTACAGAAGTTGTTATAATGATATGAGCGCAAAATTCATTTTGCTGGTATGTCGGCACACTGGTAATCCACGTTCTGGTCCCATTAGAGAGAACCTAAAAATTATCAGAATTTATTTAACGTGTTAATTCCTGTCAAATAATTGATAATTATAATTCATATTAAAGCAGCAGAGTAGATAAAACCACTGAACACTAGTAGTTGGTCGCGGGTTCCAGGCTAGTCGAGTGAGTTTTCGGGTTTTCTTCATGTATCTAACACCTCAATTGGGACCAGTTTCCCATAGAAAAGGCCAGTGAAAAAATACCTTCCAAGAATTGGAAGGCATTTTCTTACTGGCAGATCTCCCATGCCTTGTTCCACCTATCCAAATCCTGGAAATTATGCAGTGACACGTAACGCTTTCTTTTAACCAGTCAAAGGAAACTTATTTATGAATTCATAAAGGTTCTTTTAATTTAAAAAAAAAAAAAATTCAAGATCTTTGAATAGCAATTGAGATAAAACAGTAATGAAAACGTAATTAAAATATTGTTAGTTAAAGTTAGTTGTGGTGACATATAGTTAAGTTTTAGTTATGTTAATTAAGATTAATTTTATTGAAATTCTTAGAAATTCATAAAAATTCTCGTTATAGAAATATGCGATGGCCGGATGGCCGAGGTCAGTGACTTTCAACTGGGGAGCCACAACGGGATGAATTTTTCAAAACGAGTACAAACTGTGATAACGGTTGTCACCTTTACGTAAAATTATAAAATTGCTTTAGTATGTAAAAGTGTAAGGAAGTTTTGGATTTGGTCACTGGATACATGACATTAAGTTAAACTTATATAACTGTAAATTTTTAATTATTTTCGTAGGCGACGGAGGTGAGGTAACCTGTATGTGAATGATTACTATAATATATAAAAAAAGGTAAGAAATTGTAACTGAAATGTTTTCAATTTAAGTTATTAGGATGATTGAGGCAAAAGTTATCTACAGAAAGTAAAAATAGGGAAACTAATTTTTTCGAAAATAAAAATTGAACTGTACTCTTTTAAAAAAAATACCCAATGACACTTTAGGGGTGCTGCGAAATAGTGCTGAGCAGTGCTGTTATACTTCTTACATGTATTACAGTACGAAAAGTGTTATTACTCTACATTGATAAAGAAGTGGGGGGTGCTACAAGAAAAATTATCGCGTTGGAGTGACACTATTAGAGAAAGATTGAAAAAAAAAACAGAAATAGAANGTGTTTCTTTACAAACACAATCGTGCTTACACTAAAAAAATGTCATTTCGTGTGTGCTAATCTCCTACCTGCGCATTACACTTGAAATTTGAAAATAGATTCAGATATGAATTTTGAAATATGAAAAAATTTGTGCTTTAACATACAAGTCTATTAAAAGTTGTATTAATTTCATATCATGAATATTACAACGGTGACAAATTTCTTCGCTGATGAAACATTCGCCAATAACGAGATTTCATATGCTGTATATTAGTTATATTCAGTAGAATTAAATAAGAATATTTTGTTACATTTTCTGTTCCCTTTCGATGCATTCCTTAATTTTAAAAGTCCTGAAACAATCGAATGCAGCGTACTCTAAGAGAAGTAAACTTTATCAGAAATTAAAGGCATTTAAATTAAAATTTTAAAATATCCTTCAACTTACATTTTTGTTTATTAGATAATATTAATTAACTGAAGATAAAATTGAACAATAATCATCCATTAAATTCGAACTGTAAAAACAAAAATAACTTACTCGTGGGATCAAGAATGGAAGGCGTTGTTACCAACAACGATCTGCTTTACGTGTAGTTGTTGTCCTTTTAATAACTGCACGCTATTGATTATAATGCATAGCCATTTAATAACAGCTTACACGTCATTAAGTTCGATATTTTTTATTTTTTATTCAAACAAAGGAAAATTTACCAGTGGTTGCAATTTCATTATGCGTAATTATTCATTTTATTTTTATGTATCGTGAGTCGTCGAACTTTTCGGTGTTTAAAAAAATGAAATTTATATGCAAAGGTTTCAAAGTCAAATAAATAAATATTTATTTCACCTTAAAACTTATGAAACTCGATTATATAATTTAGTTTATAATTTAAAAAGGAAAATCAATTTTCATTTTTATGAAAATGTAAACAATGCTCTAATTAAGAAAGAAAACTCTTTAGTTGTATTATTATTATTTATAAATTATAAAGCCAGGGTGAGGCACAGCTGATACGTTTACGTCAGTTTAATCAGACACTACATGATAAATTCATATAAAAGTAGCCATATCTCGCTGTTACAGAGAAAATGCTGCTGATCAGAAAATAACAATTATAAACAACAACCTCATTCCACAAACGACAAGTTACACCTCAAATATATAAACACACGAAACACTATATCACACAGTAAATCAACACTCATTGACAGTACCTCAACAGCTGTCACTCATGAAAACGTACTGTATATATATATATATATATATGCAGCAATCACAATAGAACTTGCGCCAGGAGAACCAAAACAAGGCGGACATGAGGTAAACTATAAATTCCGCCAAAATTTAAAACTAGACAGTTTCAAAAACAGCCTGTTTTCTGGCAATTCCGATACTGTATTTCTGAAGCCAATTCTTCTTTACGCTGCATCGTTTTTCTATTTCTGCAGTGACAACTCTAAACAATTCGTTCTATACTGTTAACAAAGTAAATAGAACAAAGTATAATTTTATTGTGAATTATTATAATTGGTGCTGCGAAATAGTGCTGAGCAGTGCTGTTATACTTCTTACATGTATTACAGTACGAAAAGTGCTATTACTCTACATTGATAAAGAAGTGGGGGGTGCTACAAGAAAAATTATCGCGTTGGAGTGACACTATTAGAGAAAGATTAAAAAAAAAAACAGAAATAGAAACTGGGCGAACGACTTCAGAAAGTTTTACAGAGTAGTCTTCCCAGATATATTGGGTCTCGTCCCTCACCATCTAGCCACTCTATGTAGTCCTGACCAAACTCATCATGTATTAAAATGGCGACGGCCGATTGGTGAGGAACAGGACGTAGCGTATTTTGAACAGCCCAAAGCCTTCCTGTGATCCTTCATCAGGATAGCAGTTGAAATCCCCCAGAACGATGAGCTGATGCCTTTATCTCTTCTGCTACCTATCTATCATTATTAAATAATGGTATATAGATAGTTAAATAGAGACCGAAAAAGTTCCAGTCCTTTAGAGTTGGCGTCTACGTATGTAATTAATNTACTGTATTTCTGAAGCCAATTCTTCTTTACGCTGCATCGTTTTTCTATTTCTGCAGTGACAACTCTAAACAATTCGTTCTATACTGTTAACAAAGTAAATAGAACAAAGTATAATTTTATTGTGAATTATTATAATTATATTCTATTAAATTAATCGTTTATCGATATTTTTCGTAGAGCTGAAGCAAAGAGCGTAGAAAAGAATTGATATCCATTAAAAATAAAAATTTCCTCGTTTAAACTTGTAAATCAAGAGCGCGTAATGGCTCCTTCACATACAAAAGTTTTGGATACAGATAAAATCTAATATATCATTTTTTTAAATAAATTAAATTCTTACTCGATATTTAATATTTTTATTTCGGTTGGTGCAGTCCTCATTTTGTAGAATTTTGTAAATACTGTATTTGAAGATTTTGATCGATGATATAGCCTGCTTAATTTGCATATTTAGTTATTAATTTTTATACTGTTTACCATAATTGTTGTGCAAACTGATGTGTTTTTTACTGTTTTAATTACAACTTCTCGAGTTTTATCATCAGTCGATGACATGCTCGTTTAAAATAGGTTAGGATCATGCGACTATCCCACTGAAAATAGCGGTTATTATTACTCAAAAATTGACTATTATCCTTGTTGTGTTTTGTATAAGAATAGGAAAACCTTTCAATTCTGCAACAAGATACTACTTTCCACAGATTCCATTTACAATAGCTTTTAACAGGAGATAATGATGTTATTGCTGTCACAGTTAGCAGTCTAAAGCTATCCACATCTACGAGTACAGTATATCATAAAATTGTTTATATACACAATTGTAAAGGTTTAACAGACCATAAAGATAAAAGTCATTTGGGAATGGCTCCACTAATGCAAGGGCTCTACTTTTTCTCCAGGATTCTGATTATCAATATCACTTTATCGTAAGAATATGGAAATGCAAAATCTACAAACTCCTCGTCTCTCCCTATTCATGTTAACGCATGTCACAGCAAAGTCTGCTTCCTATTTAATATTAAAATAGCGTTTTATAGCTTACATAATTAAAAAATAACAACAAAATTTAATGAATTTAATAGTTACTTTGCGTGATGCAACAGTAACCAGGTCAAGTGATGTTTACGAATCCTCTAGAAAGTCGTTCGATTGAACGTACAAATTTAATGCTGTAAAGATAAAAGATCTCATTTTTAAATTATAAAANAGAACGATGAGCTGATGCCTTTATCTCTTCTGCTACCTATCTATCATTATTAAATAATGGTATATAGATAGTTAAATAGAGACCGAAAAAGTTCCAGTCCTTTAGAGTTGGCGTCTACGTATGTAATTAATTAATATTCAATATATTAGAGATGTGATATACAGTTGTTATAGAGATTAAATTAATGTTCTAATGTGAAACAATTTAGCAGGGTGGCCGAAGTGCTTAGGCGTCAGCTTACCGTTGTGGAGGAGTCGGAATCGAACCTGGACAATCATGGAAGGTCTTTAAAAAAGACTTTCTTATTGGCCACAGGGTAGAGAGTACAAAGGAAAAAAAAAACAAAAAAATGTAATATGATGTTGATTAATAATGTATTTAAATATTTATAACTACCTTTTCTGTTGCAAGTATCAGATGACAGACCGCGATGTCGTTGTCTTCTATTAAACTAGGAATGGTCATCTCGTGTAAATTTGTATCCACCAAGATAATCCACCACAACATTTTAGAATCGAATTCGTAGTTTAGCTGTACAATTACATGTATATTAATGTATAAAATAGATTATACAGGAATTATCTTTGAGGTGAATCACATTCAAAACACTTACCAAATTCAGAATCGGCAAGTCATAGTAACTAATAAATATAAAAAGAGGTTGCGTACTTTCGTGAGAAGTATTTTTTAGGAAACTGAATTGCTTCTCGGTTTCTTTTAACGACAGCACATAAGAAAAAATACCAGTTGACCAGAATTGAGGAGCTAGTTGTATCATATAGTCGTCTGAAAAATGCAGTTTTATAGGCTATAGTTTAACTGTAAAATAAGAAACCAAAAGTTAATTAATCATTTACTTACTACAATCTGTAGTATACAGCATGATTGTGTTTCTTCCTAGAAAATATTGATTGAGAAAATCTTTGGTCCATTTGGGAGGTTTCGCATCGATATTACTACAAGTAAACGATTCTGAAAGATGTTTAATGTTTAAAGTAATCAGCTCTTTACGTATTATTTTATATAATCATATATAATTAACTAAATCTTTTCGTACCAGAATTTAAATTACTCGCAAATGTAAAGCAAAATAGTTCAAACAAGAGAGCAAATTCTTCCATTGTATGAACCTCTTTATTTATCAAGTACTGATAGGATCTAACTTGTTATAATGTAAGAAAATTATCTGAAAAATATAATAGTTAAAAAACTTTAGCTAAAAGTATTTATCTATCTATTATATTTTATGTGAAAACATAAGAGAAGTAAACTTTATCAGAAATTAAAGGCATTTAAATTAAAATTTTAAAATATCCTTCAACTTACATTTTTGTTTATTAGATAATATTAATTAACTGAAGATAAAATTGAACAATAATCATCCATTAAATTCGAACTGTAAAAACAAAAATAACTTACTCGTGGGATCAAGAATGGAAGGCGTTGTTACCAACAACGATCTGCTTTACGTGTAGTTGTTGTCCTTTTAATAACTGCACGCTATTGATTATAATGCATAGCCATTTAATAACAGCTTACACGTCATTAAGTTCGATATTTTTTATTTTTTATTCAAACAAAGGAAAATTTACCAGTGGTTGCAATTTCATTATGCGTAATTATTCATTTTATTTTTATGTATCGTGAGTCGTCGAACTTTTCGGTGTTTAAAAAAATGAAATTTATATGCAAAGGTTTCAAAGTCAAATAAATAAATATTTATTTCACCTTAAAACTTATGAAACTCGATTATATAATTTAGTTTATAATTTAAAAAGGAAAATCAATTTTCATTTTTATGAAAATGTAAACAATGCTCTAATTAAGAAAGAAAACTCTTTAGTTGTATTATTATTATTTATAAATTATAAAGCCAGGGTGAGGCACAGCTGATACGTTTACGTCAGTTTAATCAGACACTACATGATAAATTCATATAAAAGTAGCCATATCTCGCTGTTACAGAGAAAATGCTGCTGATCAGAAAATAACAATTATAAACAACAACCTCATTCCACAAACGACAAGTTACACCTCAAATATATAAACACACGAAACACTATATCACACAGTAAATCAACACTCATTGACAGTACCTCAACAGCTGTCACTCATGAAAACGTACTGTATATATATATATATATATATGCAGCAATCACAATAGAACTTGCGCCAGGAGAACCAAAACAAGGCGGACATGAGGTAAACTATAAATTCCGCCAAAATTTAAAACTAGACAGTTTCAAAAACAGCCTGTTTTCTGGCAATTCCGATACTGTATTTCTGAAGCCAATTCTTCTTTACGCTGCATCGTTTTTCTATTTCTGCAGTGACAACTCTAAACAATTCGTTCTATACTGTTAACAAAGTAAATAGAACAAAGTATAATTTTATTGTGAATTATTATAATTATATTCTATTAAATTAATCGTTTATCGATATTTTTCGTAGAGCTGAAGCAAAGAGCGTAGAAAAGAATTGATATCCATTAAAAATAAAAATTTCCTCGTTTAAACTTGTAAATCAAGAGCGCGTAATGGCTCCTTCACATACAAAAGTTTTGGATACAGATAAAATCTAATATATCATTTTTTTAAATAAATTAAATTCTTACTCGATATTTAATATTTTTATTTCGGTTGGTGCAGTCCTCATTTTGTAGAATTTTGTAAATACTGTATTTGAAGATTTTGATCGATGATATAGCCTGCTTAATTTGCATATTTAGTTATTAATTTTTATACTGTTTACCATAATTGTTGTGCAAACTGATGTGTTTTTTACTGTTTTAATTACAACTTCTCGAGTTTTATCATCAGTCGATGACATGCTCGTTTAAAATAGGTTAGGATCATGCGACTATCCCACTGAAAATAGCGGTTATTATTACTCAAAAATTGACTATTATCCTTGTTGTGTTTTGTATAAGAATAGGAAAACCTTTCAATTCTGCAACAAGATACTACTTTCCACAGATTCCATTTACAATAGCTTTTAACAGGAGATAATGATGTTATTGCTGTCACAGTTAGCAGTCTAAAGCTATCCACATCTACGAGTACAGTATATCATAAAATTGTTTATATACACAATTGTAAAGGTTTAACAGACCATAAAGATAAAAGTCATTTGGGAATGGCTCCACTAATGCAAGGGCTCTACTTTTTCTCCAGGATTCTGATTATCAATATCACTTTATCGTAAGAATATGGAAATGCAAAATCTACAAACTCCTCGTCTCTCCCTATTCATGTTAACGCATGTCACAGCAAAGTCTGCTTCCTATTTAATATTAAAATAGCGTTTTATAGCTTACATAATTAAAAAATAACAACAAAATTTAATGAATTTAATAGTTACTTTGCGTGATGCAACAGTAACCAGGTCAAGTGATGTTTACGAATCCTCTAGAAAGTCGTTCGATTGAACGTACAAATTTAATGCTGTAAAGATAAAAGATCTCATTTTTAAATTATAAAAAATAAATAATTAAATACTGTAATTATTTTATTATATTTGGAAATCACTTCGGATAATGTTTTGTAAAGGATAAGTGCCTCATGCTAGGACGTTCTATAGAAAATTGGTCCCTGTTTAGATGTTAGACACTGAAGAAAATAAAAATTTCCTCGTTTAAACTTGTAAATCAAGAGCGCGTAATGGCTCTTTCACATACAAAAGTTCTGGATCCAGATAAAATCTAATATATCATTTTTTTTTAAATAAATTAAATTCTTACTCGATATTTAATATTTTTATTTCGGTTGGTGCAGTCCTTACTGAAGAAAACTCTGAAAACTCTAGGCGGCCAGGTCCAGGTCACACGGGTTCAGTGGCTTTATCCATTTGGTCACTGGTGGATTTGTAGAGAATTCGTAATAACTAACGAAAATAAACAGAGGTTGTGCACGATCCTCTTGAAATATATGCTAGGAAACAACTTGTTTCTCCATGATAGCAAATAAGCAGAAATGGCATTTATCCAAAAATGTGGTACTAATTTGCTTGGTATATTTACTGTTACCAAATTTAATTACGGATAGTATTAAATTAATTAATTAGTATTATGCTATTTTCTTCTACCTATTTTGCAGAAAGACGACACCAGATGCGGAAACCTTAGGGGCAGGAGGCCCCGATTAACTATATACAAACCGATGCGAACCAAAAGTAAGTAAGTTCAATTAAAACATTTTCCCCTGAAAGGAGTTAGGTAGATGACCGGCACGTTGTTGACAGTAAACGTATGATGTATACAGGGGCAAGACGCTATTAATTTAAGGTAGAGAGCATATATTTTAAATTAAATACATTAAAAATATGATTAAAAATTGCAGCCCGACATCGTCACAATATTTGCTCGTTCATTTTTTACTCTTTTTTCCTCACGAACACTAAAAGACTTTTTAAATCCATTGTGGGTTCATTCAGGCTTACAATGAAGCGGAAGATGAAAAGGGACGGGATTCGACATAACTGAGACTGACCCCCGTATGAAAAATTCTAGGGGAGTTGTTGTCCGGATTTGATTCTGGATTCCCCAGGCCCGGTTTTTATCCGCATCACAGTTCAGTTGATAATCTGAAAATGTATCGAGTTTTTCTTGAACAAATATTGAACTTTGCAACGTTATTTCCGCTAAAATGGGCATTTAACAGAATAACGATGATAACAATCTCACTCATAATCATCCACAAAAATAGAAGAAAGACGATTAAAAATTAAAACGTGTAAAATATTACTGTAGATAGCTTACCGATTAGGAAGCAGCAAAGAATATATTTCTGTTACTAACAACAATTCTATCGTTTTTTTTTTAAAGGGCAACGTAATTGTTCTTTATAAAAAAGATATTTATGGTATTGATTACAGCGTTGAGTTGAATAATGATAACTAAAGTGATGAATGAGTGCAGTATTCTTTATCTGTTGCCTCTTTGTTAGTTAAATGCAGCGTTTATCTCCAGAATAGGCGGAACAACTATGCACGAGTATATTTTTTTTAAGTATCCCGGAAATGAAAAATTGTTTTGACAGAATATTCCAAGATATAATAACGTATGTCGAATGATATATATTGATATCATTACATGAGTTTTGAATGACAAGCCATAGGGATTTAAAGCTAGGGGAAAAAAAAAGTTGAATATATCGATTTTATATGTTTAAAATTGAAATTAAAAATAATGTAAACAAGTTAAAACCACGAGTAAAACTGTAGAAATAAATATAATTTCGTTAAAATGTATAAAAGGTTTTTGGATTAAAAAGTTAGTAAAATATATATATATATAAACCCCTTAAAACTGGCTATAAAATAAGATGTAAGAGCAGTTTTAATTGGTCTTAAGGTGTTTTTTAAAAATATTTTACTACCTTTTTAATCCAAAAACTTTTTATACATTTTAACGAAATTATATTTATTTCTACAGTTTTACATATTTTAATTCATTCAAAGCTGCGGTGACTAGATTTATGGGAAATAACCACGAATTTCTAGTGTCAACTAATGATGTTATCATACTTCGACATATTTCCACACAACTTGATTGATGCGATCGATGAACAGGGGAAACATCAAGCATTTCCGAAATTAAATTTCGTTAGCAGGGACAAACCATGCTCAAGGATTATCGCTGGACTCTCAAAAGAGAAAGCAACAGTGAAACTAACAGAGAGTCCGTTGTTCGTCACCGCAAGTTAACTGTATATATTTCCCTGCATACTGAAATATACTTGAAACATCTAAACCTCGCGCAATAGAGCTTTTTCATAGTCATTTTCGAATTCTGTGCACCCGTTTCCAATATAATTTCGGTCCGGAAACAAGAGAAAGTTTTAATTTATTTCCTAGAATTATAAATGAATCTAAAAATGTGTCATTTTTTAAAAATTTATTTTAATAAATACCGAATCTTCAAACAGTTATTAAATTTCGTATTACGTTTTATTAAATATAAAAATTTTTTTACAATTAAGAGTTATTTACAAATTTAATTGTTGAAGTCACTATTATTCAGATTTGTACATATGTTACCGCTAAAGCTCGAAATCCGTTAATGTGCGCATTACCTAGCTAATCTGCAGATTAACTAGGGTGATCCGTTAAAGCTGCGAAAATTATTCCATTTCTCAAATTACCTAGGTAATGTTCAGATTATCTAGGTAATCTGCAAATTACCTACTAGGCACTCGGTAAAGTGAAAATAAGATTTTTGCTGGAACAACAGCAACGTTTCTGTACGCTTAAATTAACATAATGTTATTTATTTAATTTTCAATATCTAAAGAATCAAGTTAATACAATCAACAAATTAGTTGATTGAATCAATCATCAATCAATTAAAAAAACTTTAATACAAAAATCAAACGGTTTAAAATATTACTACAATTAGGGAAATGAATTTGCAAAACATATGATAAAATTGTACTTACTTATTAGTGCAATCTAAAGATTGGTGACACTTTGAATTACGTAGCAATTGGTTTTTGCGACAAGCACGCCTATTTGTGGTACATTTAGATTTGCAGTCACATTTTCTGAAACCCTGCCCAGTACCAAGGGATTGTTTTATTGCTGTTTGACG